ATTATATATTATATATTCACTGTCACTGTTGATCAGCTTAATGCATTAATAAAATTATTAATTTCTTAAAAAAAAAAAAAAAAAAACTTACTGACCCCAAATATATGTAATAGATATTTATATTTTACTTATTTCCCAAATTTTTTTGTTTAAATATTTCTTGTTTGGAATTTCACAGAAAAATAAACTTTTTATTTTAACTATTTATGCAAAAAAACGTACAATTACATAAATAATGAAAAAAAAAATCCTAATAGTAATACCCAATGATTGAATGAATAAATAAATAAATACATAAATATAATTCCCTGTATTTTTATAGTCAACTAATATATTCTTAAGCTAATATTTAAAACCTGAATTAATAAAACTATTCAATTATGTTTTAGTAATCCTTTTTCCATACTGTATATGCCTAAATTTAGTTATTATATTGTAATATTTAAAATGATTGTTTTTAATTAGTTTCATTTTTAATTTACTTAGAAAACAATTTATAAAATATTAATTAGTATTAATATTAATATACATATTGGATATTTATCAGTCACATCAGCCATAACATGAAAAGTTATTGGCTTATTGATATTGTCAATAATTTTAAGAGAAGAGACAGAAGAAGGGTTGTGTTATGTATTATATAGGGTTGTACATATTTGTATGTAATATAACATATTGCATGTATTTTTATATTCAAAGTTATGGCATCAATGTTCTGTCTTTATAATAACATTTCTACTGGAAAGATTAGTGAGTGAGTGAGTGACGTGACATGTGGCCAAGTATGGTGACCCATACTAGGAATTAGTGCTCTGCATTTAACCCATACTGTCAATCAAACTATCATGGGAGGGGCCTGTCTGTGTGACGTCACACAGACAGGCATCTGAGATCGGCTCGATTTGGGAAAGGGGAAATGATTTAACAAGATTTAAAAAAAACTAGGTGGGTTTTTATCATTCTAGGGTGGTTGTGTACACACACTGCCAACACACATTTCAGTTCAAACAACTTGTAAAGGTGCATGTCGCATCCGATGACCCCTTTAAATTAATCCCCCCACTTTTGCACTTTACAAAATGATTTGCATCATTTATTTGTATCAGTCTAATAATATTAGACTGATACAAATAAATGATGTAAATAATTTTGTATGTATTTGATCAAACATTCAGTAAAAACAATAATATTGTTAAATATTATCACTATTTAAAATAACTCTTTTCTATTTTAATATATTTCAAAATATGATGTATTCCTATGACAAAGCTGAATTTTCAGCATTTTTCTGAAATAGATATCTTTTGTAACAATATTATATATTCACTGTCACTGTTGATCAGCTTAATGCATTAATAAAATTATTAATTTCTTAAAAAAAAAAAAAAAAAAACTTACTGACCCCAAACTTTTGAAAAGTAGAGTTCTTATCAGTGCTGAAAATAATTCAGTATGAGATAAGTTAAGCATTATGTGTTGAATGAAGCATTGTCAATAATGGACAAAATTTGATATTGGAAATGTAATCAAAATATTTATTTTAATTTATTTTCTCATATGTTTATAATATCAGGCATTTAAGAATGTTATAAATTCTATAAAAATAATATAATATCTGTAAATAATCACATTAAATTGGCCCACTCATTTATCGCCTGTTGTGTTTTTATCTGTACATGAAACATAAGCATGCAGATGCAGATTCTTCTGTGTGTAAGTTGCTTTTCTCTGCATTTCATCTTTCTCTCTTCACTCTCAATGTACTTTTGTGATCTCTTTCTCCAGCTCTCTGTTTTTCGCTGGTATCATATGGTGGTTCTGGTTAGAATTTGCTGCACTGCTCTTTGTTTGGGTACATAAATCATAAGACCTGCAGCTGCACCGCAAAGGTCACTTCAAATCTCAAGTAAAATGGAGTAGAGCCCAGAGGGAGAGGACCTCCTAGTGCCAGCTCGCTGCTTCCTTGCTGTCGAGTGTGTGTGTGTGTGTGTGTGTGTGTGTGT